TGATACTCTCATGGAGCTTATAATCTATTTAGGAATGTTTATATAAATGGTCAAATTTTATCCTGTACCTTTGTAATATTAACATTTTGAATAATATTCTGACAAGTTATTAAATTTGAGAATAGTGTACAAAAACACTTAAGTACTATATCAGATTTTACTCATCTTTGACTTCTATGAGTGTTTGAGACTCAATTTTCATGAAATACAGAAAAAGATTCTATTGCAATAAATATGCATTATGTGATATTAACATAATATACTTGTAATAATGTAGTCAAAACAATATATTTGGTATAAGTAAAATACATGTCAAATTAGTTGGCACAGATCTGGTTAATCTGTTTAAAATTATGTAGATTTTCCAGTTTGGGACAATCAAACATGTTTCAAAATTTCAGTATCTGCTTTATAATTTTTTTATAATCATAAATTAGGTCATACAATAAAGAAAAGGACAATGATATAATTTTTTAATTCAAGTTGGCAGAAATGAGAAATTTTTGATGATTATTTACATATTAACTGGATTTTACAATTTAAAAAAGGTAGTTAACACCAATTTTTTAAATTTGGAGAATTTGCTATTATTCTATTCTTCTATGGAGAAGTCTTTTGCTGACAGATTTTGCAATGAAAGAAGAGTGTCTAAATTTAAGAGATTTCAATTTAATATGAAGTAATGTCTGTTATATAAAGAGAGAATGCCCTTCAGAACTCAATTTTATACACATACACAAACACACACATATTTCCTTTCTACAGTAAGGTGAAGTATATATTATTTGATTCTTGATTACCTCTTTGCGACCAAGTATACCAATTAAGTTAGCCACTACGAAATGACATAATTTAAAATTTTATGATATATTACAACCAAAGTCGTCTATTCAAGTTTTCTTTTTGATAATAAAGAGCAAAATAAAACAAATTAAAATCATATATAACGAAAAAAGAATAAATTAAAATCCTTCACCAAGTGGTTATGTTTAATGATACACATTTAGAACAAGAATTTAAATTTAAAAGTTTTCACATTAACTTACAGTTGAACTCACTATATTCCCTGATTTATTTACACTGTGGTTCTTGACTCTTCTCGATCTTGAAATATAAATTTAATTTTCCCATTCCTGTCTGACACTTCTGAAATTATTTTTCTTTAAAGTGTCTTCTCTGGGTCTCTCTTACTATTTTAATGGTATCAGAATTGTGTTTCATGGAAAGCATATAGATTAACGGGAGTTTCACTTCTTTCTTGAAATTAATAGCAAATATCAACATAAATAAGTACAGAACCATAGTTAAATAATTTGAAAGACATTATTTTAAAACAAGTATAAAACATATCAAATTTAATAAGTCATAATAATCTAGCCAGTTATATAATATGTTTCCACATAAGCAAATTTACTTCACATCAACTATATATATCTTGGTACTCATTAGTTTTAGAAGATTTAAAAATATATTTGTGTGTAAATATACATATATTAACAATTTCATTTGTTGGAATTATATTAAAAATATATATTTCTCAACCTATTTCTTTGTTTAGCAAGGAAATAAATATTGAAAAAGAAAATAAGCTAAGTAAAGAGTAAATACTGAACTTAGTTTTATTTAATAACATTGTAGATACCCAATAAGTGTATGTCTATGTTATTTTGTTTGAATTTGGGTTTTAACGTGGTTTTAGTTTGAGATCTGGGAATATTTTGCAATGCTAGCTATGCCACAATTGGCCTTCTCTGTAAACTGCTCTTTGGATGTAAATTTAAAGAATAGTTCATTCTTGTAGCTAACCAAGACACCACTTAGTGAATTACTGTTTGTGTTAAAGAGTAATTCAATAGCACACCTCTGAATTAGTTTTCTCAGACAGCCAATCCTCACCTAATAAATTGTAAAAACAGAACAGAACTCTAGAGGGCAGAAACATTATTATAAATAATGTCTAAAACCATCTGTATACCAGGAAGCATCTCTAGTCTAAAGGCATGGTATGTTCTATGCATATATATATTATATTACTTTTCATTAATATAGCTAAAATTTACTGATATTATTAAAATATGTTAATTTAAAAGCATAATTGAATTTCTTGCCATTGTTACCATTATCTCAATCAACTGCCATTAGAACTTCTCTTATGTATGAGGTCTACATTTCTTTAACACAAAAATGTAGTCATTATATATTGTCAATATAAACTATTTACTGAAAGCATATGTAATTGCCTGAAGTAACAATTTAAACTGAATGAATACTGAATGGCATTACATGTAAGACTTTATTTTGGTACTATAAAAGTGAAAAATAAAATCCAAAAAATTACAAAAATATTACATTTATGTCAAACGTATGTCTTAGAATCAATGAAATGAGTATATTTCTTTTAGAGTTATAAAGTTTGGCTACCATAACCCAGTAAATGTTCTTGTCATTTTTCATGAAATAATAGCTTTACAATAATTAAATTTCAAATTCTATTGCTAAGACTTTTGCTTCCAGCTAAGATGAAGGAACAAGGAAAGGATTCTTCCTCCTACTTGAAACAACTGAAAAATCAGGATGAAGTATATAAAACAATGTTTTAAGACATTGGGTATCACAAAACAAAAGACAGTAATCCCTGAGAGTCAGATAATCATCAATGTGAGACCTGTGCTTACTCCAGGTCATTGGCTGGAAAATCTTCAGACTATGACTTAGCAGGGGTCCTCAAACTTTTTAAACAGGGGGCCAGTTCACTGTCCCTCAGACTGTTGGAGGGCCGGACTATAGTTTTAAAAAAACTATGAACAAATTCCTATGCACACTGCACATATCTTATTTTGAAGTAAAAAAACAAATGGGCAAAAACACCCACATGTGGCTGGCAGGCCGTAGTTTGAGAATGCCTGACTTAGAGAGATGGATCTTACTAAGAGCCAAGAGTTCCTTGAACTAAAGAGATAGAGCTGAAAGTATAGGGAGATTAAAATACCTAGAGTTTAAAGGACAAAATACTGTAAAGGAGATTACTGCACAGGGAAAAACTCTAGACTCTGCAGAAGTTCTTTCTCAAGTCTTCAGCTGAGTCTTCAATTCTTTAATGTCAGCAGTCTTTTCTTCTACAGTATCTGATCAGCTCTGAATTCCTCACAACATAAGCATGTGAGAAAATGATCAGTGGTGGGAGAAAGAAAAACCTGAAAGATTTGTGATAACAATTCCTGGAGCTCATATAGGACTAGGAATAATTTTCCCACCATCCACAGTAGAATACTTCATTATTCAAGAACTAAAACATTGGATAGCATAACCAAAAGGGTTTTGTCTCAGTAATGGATCAAATTTAACACTAAAATATTATTCTGGTCCCCATTAACAAACTCTAAAGCAATATATAGAAGGGCCAAATTGTGTCTAAGTAATTTAATTTCATCCAAGAAAAAATAATATTTATACAAATAAATATGAATCACTAAAGAAGGTAAAATTTAAAAAGCATATTATTCAATTATAATTCACCATATTTGCAAAGAATTAGCACAATATGCTACACAATGAGAAGATACCAATTAATTAAAATGAATCCAAACATGACAGAGAGGATACAATTAGTACACATTGACATTAAAGAAATATTATAACTTATTCCACATGTTTAAGAAACTAGAGGAAATATTTAATGTATTAATTAGAAATACAGAAGATATAATTGAAAACTCAAATTGAACCTTTAAAGTTGAAAACAACGTTTGATATGAAAGACACAACAGAAGGATTAACAGCAGACCAGACACTACAGATGTAAAGATTGCTAACACTGAAGACATACTAATAGAAACTAATTAAAATGAAACAAAGGTAGAAATAAGAGTGAAAAAAATAAAAGAGTATCATTGATCTATGGGAACAACTTCAAGCAGCTAATGTACATGTAATTGGAGCCCTGGAAATGGGGGAGGTAAACAGAAAAAATTATGTTTCAAATTTGATAAAAATTATAAATCAACATGTCCATGAAGCTCAACAATCCCTTAAGGCAACAAAAATTAAAAATAACTATATATGTATGCTAACAATTACATTTTAACTTGTAATGTTATAATTCACAAATGTAAAAATTTTTAATTGTATATCTTAAATATATATTGTTAAAGGTATACCAATTATACCTCAATATATATGTTATAATAAAATATGAAGAGTAAGGATTCTATATAATGGTTATCCTAAATATTAACATATTATTTAATGAAGAAGGATTTAGTCTGTTTGGCTGGTCTAGGATGGCCGTGGCCTTCTCCACATGTCTGTCTCTTCCCTTCCTCTGGCTATCCTGGGTATATTTCCATTCATTAAGCAAGAGTAAAAAGAGAACCAGACTTTTTCAAGTTCCTGCTTGCATCCTGATTTCTAACATTCTATTAGCTAAAGAAAGTAAAGTGGATGGGAGAGAATACCCCCAAATCTAATGAAAGGGGGAAAGAAAAAATAAACAAAACATATTGTGACTGATATTAGAGTATAAGTATTGCAACTATGGCATAAAAGGAGAGAATAATATAAGTTTGTGCAAGAGTCTAATATTTACATTAATTCAAAAGTATGGTGATATATGATAGTTATGTATAAAATATATAACTCACATTTGTTTAGAGAACTAAAAAATTTTTAAAATCATTCCATTCATTCAATATCAACCATATATTTTCAGTGTTTTAAATAAATAATGTTGTTTTATAGCCCAAGGATATCTTTATATCTTTCACGTCAATTTATTTTATTTGTATATATTTAAGGGTACAAGCACAATTTTGTTACATGTATATTGCGTAGTGGCAAAGTCTGGGCTTTTAGTGTATCTATCATTGGAATAATGTGCATTGTATCCATTAAGTAATTTCTCATCACCCACCCCCTTCCACCCTCTTACCTTTCCAAACCTCCAATGTCTTATCATTCTACACTCTATGAGCCCACTGTATGCAGCTTACAACTCACCTTACCTGTAAAGACACATCATTTAGACAAAGAGTAAAGAGATGGAAAATGATATTCCCTGAAAAGGAAAACCAAAAGTGAGCAAGAATAGATATACTTGTATCAGGTAAAACAGACTATCAATCAAAAACAGTAAAAAAAGAAAAAACAACCCAAAGGTCATTATATAATGAGAAAGGGATCAATTCAGCAAGAGGATATAACAACCTTAAATGTATGTGCACCCAACACTGAAGCACCCAGATATAGAAAACACATATTACTAGACCTGAAGAATGAGATAGACAGCAATACAATAGTAGTGACGGACTTTAACACTCCCCATACAGCACTCGACAGATCATTGAGATAGAAAATCAGCAAAAAAAAAAAAATTAAAAATGCTGAACTTAAACTGGACTCTAGACCAAAAGGACCTAAGAGACATTTACAGAACATTCTACCCCAAAGCCACAGGATACACATTCTTCTCAGCACATGGAACATTCTCCAAGATAGACCATATGTTAGGCCACAAAATAAGTCTTAATAAATTTTAAAAAATCTTCTCAGGCTACAGTTGAATAAAACTAGAAACCAATATCAAGAGGAACATCAGAAATTATACAAATATCTGGAAGTTAAACAAGATGCTCCTGCATGATCTCTAGGTAAATGATGAAGTTAAAATAGAAATGTTAGACATTTCTTATAATGTCTTATCTTCCATATCTAATTTTATCTATTTGAGCCTTCTCTCTCTCTTTTTAGTTAGTCTAACTAAGAGTTTGTTATTTGGTTTGACTTTTCAAAAAAAATCAATCCTTAATTTTGTTAATTTTTTCTATTGATTTTCTATTCTCTAACTTATTTCTACTCTAATCTTTATTTTTCTTTATTCTAACAACTTTTGGCTTAGTTTTTTCTTTTTCTAGTTCATTGTGGTGTCAAGTTAGGTTTCTTATTTGAGATCTTTCTTCCTTCTAATGTAGTTGTCCATTACTATAAATTTGCTCCTTAGTACTGCTTTTGCTGCATTCCTTAAGTTTTGGAATATTGTGTTTACATTTTCCTTTGCCTGAAGATATTTTTAAAATTCTCTTTTGATTTTCTTTTTGACCCTATGGCTGTTCAATTGTGTGTTTATTAGCTTCCATGCATTTGTACATTTTCCCATATTGTTGCTGTTATTTATTTCTAGCTTCATTACAGTGTGGCTCGAAATAATATATGAGTGATTTCAATCTTATTAAGTTTTTTAAGGTTTGTTTTATGACCTAAAATGTGATGAATCCTAGAAAACGTTTCCCATACACTTGAAAGGAATGTATCTTCTTCGGCTGCTGAGTGGAAAGTTGTATACATGTTTGTTAGGTCCATTTCGTCTGTAGTGATATTCAAGTCAACTGTTTCTTTATGGGTATTCTGTCTGGATGTTCTATTCATTCTATCTCAACACTATAAGGACAATATATGAAAACCCCACAGCTAACATCATAATCAATGGTAAAAACTGAAAGCGTTTCCTCTGTGATCTTATAGAAGGCAAGAATGTCCACTCTTGCCACTTCTATTTAACATATTGCTAAAAGTCCTAGCCAGAGCAATTAGGCAGGAAAAAGAAATATTAGGCATCCCAATTGGAAAGGAAGAAGTTTCTGTTTGGAGGTGATATGATCAGATATGTAGAAAATCATAGAAACCTAATCAAAAGCTTTTAGAACTAATAAAGAAATTTAATAAAGCTTCAGGATACAAATTTGACATACAAACATCACTTTTGCTTCTATATGCTAATGACAAACAACTCAGAAAAGAAATTAAGAAAAAGCTTCATTTACAATAACATCAGAAAGAATAAAACACTTAGGAAAAAATGTAACCAAGGAGGTGAAACCTTGATTAAAATTATAAAACACTGATGAGAAAAACTGAAAGAGAGATGGATCAATGAAAAGACAACCCATGTTTACAAATTGGAAGGATTGATATTGTTAAAATGTCCATAGTATGCAAAGTGATCTACAGATTCAATGCACTCTTTATCAGAATCTCAGTGACATTTTTTACAGAAATAGACAAACAATCCTAAAATTTGTATGGAGCCACAAGAGACCCTGAATAGCCAAAAAAAGATCCTGAATAACTAAACAATCTCCCCCCCCCCTTTTAAAAGTTTCAGCATACTAAGGTGGTATAAATGTTTAGGTTACATATATTATTTTTGCCCCACCGAGTCAGAGCTTCAAGTGTGTCCATCCCCCAGAGGGTTCACACTGCACCCATTAGATGTCAATATAACCATTCCCTCCTCCTTCTCCCACCTGCCTGACACCCAATAAATGTTACTACTATATGTGTACATAAGTGTTGATCACTTAGTACCAATTTGATGGTGAGTACATGTGGTGGTCATCTTTCCATTCATGGGATACTTCACTTAGTAGAATGGGCCCCAACTTTACCAGCATAAACAGGAGGTGCTGGATCACTATTGTGTTTTATGGCTGAGTAGAACTTCATGGTATATGCTTACCGCATTTTATTAATTCACTCACAGATTGATGGGCACTTGGGATGTTTCCACATCTTTGCAATTGTGAATTGTACTGCTATAAACATTCTGGTGCAGATGTCTTTTGTACAGAATGTCTTTTTTTTCCTTTGGGTAGATGCCCAGTAATGGGTGTGCTGGATCAAATGGTAGTTCTACTTGTAACTCCTTTAGGTATCTCCATATAACTTCCCACAGAGGTTTTACTAGTTTGCAGTCCCACCAGGAGTGTATGAGTGTTCCTATTTATCCACATCCACACCAACATTTGTTGTTTTGAGCCTTTTTGATAAAAGCCATTCTCACTGGCAATAAGTGATATCTCATTGTGGTTTTGATTTGAATTTTCTTGATGATTAGAGACGTTGAGCATTTTTTCATATGTTTTTTGGCCATTAGTCTATCTTCTTTTGAAATGTTTCTGCTCATATCCTTTGCCCGCTTTTTTGTATTAATTTATTTCAAGAAAATATGAGATTGCAAACATTTTGGTTGCGTTTTATATCTTTGCCTCTCCCTAGCAAGGGTTAGAGGTATGCTCTTCCCCTCCACAATGTCCACCACATTTTTGATAAGGTTGTTTGATTTTTTTCTTGCTAATTTTCCTGAATTCTATATAGAGTCTAGTTATCAGCCCTTTATTGGATGTGTAACATGCAAATTTTATTTTCTCATATTCTGTAGGTTGTCTGTTTGCTGTTGTGATAGTTCCCTTGGCTGTGCAGAAGGTTTTTAATTTAAAGAGGTCTCATTTAGTTATTTTTGTTGTTACTGTTATTGCCTTTGGGGTCCTCTTCATAAATTCTTTGCCTAGGCCAATGTCTATATGGGTTTTTCCAAAATTTTCTTCTAGAATTCATATATTTTCATAACTTAGGTTTAAGTCTGTTATCCACCATTTAGTTGATTTTTTTGAGAGGTGAACGGTGCAGATCCTGTTTCACTCTTCTACATGTGGCTATCCAATTTTCCCAGTACCATTTATTGAATAAGGATTCTTTTGACCAGTGTATGACTTTGTCTGCTTTGTCAAAGTTTAGATAGCAATATAAGGATTATTTTATATTTGGGTTCTCAGTTCAGTTCCATTGGTCTATGCCTCTGTTCTTGTGCCAGTCGTATGCTGTTTTAGTTACTAGAACCTTGCAATATAAGTCTGGTAAATTGATGCCTCCCAATTTGTTCTTTTTGTTTGAGATCGCTTTTGCTATATGGGGTCTTCTTCAGTTCCATATGAAGTGTAGCATTTTTTTATATTTGCAAAAATGATGTTGTTTTTTCCATAGTAATTGCATTGAATCTGTAGATAACTTTAGGTGACAAAGACATTTTAACAATGTTGTTTCTGGTGATCCATGAGGTACTATTATGCATAATTATACACCAACAAATTGAATAATCTAGAATAAATAGATAAAGTCCTAGACATATATAACTTACCAAACCTGAATTAAGATGAAATAACAAGCCTCAGCAGACCGATAACAAAAAGGAGATTAATCAGTAATCAAAAAATTCTCAACAAATAAAATCCTAAGACCAGGTGCCTTCACTGGTGAATTATACTAAACATTCAAAGAATTAACAGCAATATTTCTTAAAATCTTCCAAAAGTAGAAGTAGAGGTAATACTTCCAAACTCACTTTATGAGGCTGGCATCATCCTGATATCAAAGCCAAAGACACCATAATAAAAAATGCACTTGCCAATTTCTCTAATAAATATAGATGTAAATGTCCTCAATAAAATATTAGCAAACTAAATTCAACAGCATGTTAAAGGGATTAAACCCAATGACCAGGTGGGATTTATCCTTGGAATGCAAAGATGGTTCAACATCTGCAAATCAATAAATGTGAAGCACCACATTAACAGAATGTGAGCTCAAAACCACATAATTATCCTGATAGAAGCAGAAAAAGAATTTGGCAAAATTCAATCTCTGTTCATGATAAAAACTCTCAACAAAATAGGTATAGAAAGAACTTACCTCAATACAATAAATATCATATGGGGGAAAAATAAAATAAAATGAATTTTTTTTAAATGAAATGAATTAAAATGAAAAATAATATACCAAAACTGAGATATTGCAATAGCAGTGCTAAGAGAGACATTTATAGCATTAAATGCATACATCAAGAATATAGAAACATCACAAATTGACAACTTAAGGTTGCAATTACAACTTAAGGTTGTAACTCAAGGAACTAGCAAAATAAGAATGAGCCAAACACAAAGCTAGCAGAAGAAAAGAAATAATAAATATCAGAGCAGAACTAAATGAAGTAGAAACAAACAAAAAAAAAACAATACAAAGGATCAACAACATTCATTCTTTGAAACATTCATTCTTTGAAAAGGTAAGCAAAATTGACAAACTCCTAGCTAGACTAAGAAAAGAAGGACTAGGACTCAAATAAACAAAATCATAAATGAAAAAGGAGACATTAACACTGATACCACAAGATTATAAAAGATCACCAGAGACTGTGATGAGCAAATATATGCTCACGAAACTAGAAAACCTAGAGGAAATGGACACATTTCTGAAAATATAAAACCTCTTAAGATTGAATTAGGAAGAATGAGAAACTCTGAACAGCCCAATAATGAGCAGTGAGATTGAATCAGTACTAAAAATATCTCAACAACAAAAGAAAGCCTAGAACCAGATGGACTCACCTCTGAATTCTACCAAACATACGAAGAAAAATTGGTAATAATCTCCCTGATACTTGCAAAAACTTGAGGAGGAGAGAATTCTCCTTGACTCATTCAATGAAGCCGGTAACACTCTGATACCAAAAGCAGACAAGGATACAACCAAAAATGAAAACTACAGACCAATATCCTTGATGAACATAGATGCAAAAATCCTCAACAAAATACTAGCAGCCCAAACCAACAGCAGCACATCAAAAAGTTAATACAAAGTGATCAAGTGAATTTTT